ATAATTTTTTTAATACTCCTCGTTACATACTACTGTTTTAAAAAAAAAATCAAATATGCATTTACATAACGACGCCCTTGTTGCTTATTTTTTTTAACCATATTTCAAAAATGTTACTTTTCTGTGCAATATAATCATCACCACTGAAATGTTTACAATGTGTATGCAAAAAATTAGTACATACCATTGATACTTTCTGTCACAGGGTCAATTTTCCTCCGTTTCTAGCACGCTGCTTTAGATCAGAGGATAGTTAAACTCTCAGTATTTACATATATTTCATTACCTTTTTCAGACTCGTTTTTCTTTGTGCTTTAGTTAGTAATATTCTGGTTGACTGATGTTTCTTAGTTTCTGATACTATCCGACAATATTGATGTGGCTCTACTTTACACTCATGATTACCTACAGATGGCTTGTCACTCAAATTTAATTTTTAGGGATTTTTTGTGCAATTAGCGTTGCTGTGGCTGAGTGGGTAACCTGTTCTTTTTTAGTTTTTTGTTTCATGTAATAGTCTTCCTTATGCTTCCTTCCGTTGCTGAAGAAACTTACGTCCAAGCCCGCCCTGTATTGCAATGCACGTATAATCACACTGTCCCGTGAACCTTCTGATTGAATGCTGCGTTTGTTCATATGGTTAGATGTCTCCAGTATCATTTGCACGTTTCTACATGTTACACTAGGCATAGACATGCACTTCCACAGTTCAAGTGCCGCCATGAGCATATAGAGCTCTTTTAGATTCGCACTAACTTCTATTTTCTTCTCAGATCTGTTTTTTCTCTATTTCACTTGTTTAATTCTCTATAGGTGGATCTTAATCAAGAGGTAACGGTGATGGGCATCAGAATTCGTAATAGAAAAGAATGGGGTAAGTTGACAAGCAGGGCTACTCCACACGATCGATGGCCAGTTAGAACGATTCAACTTTAGAGCATTTGCATAATATTATTCAAATAAAACTACTGTATATAAGTTGTAGATGATTTTGTCTCCTAACATCGGGGGCCCGTTCTTCAGTGTATCCATATATATAGCGGTATCCGTTGCAGACAACAATTTCAATATCTCCTTGAATTAGTTACTGTAGTCTTGCAGTAACGAAGATGCCGGCTCAATAGTGGATAGGCAATGAGAATAGCCATTGTTACTGTAATCATTATTAGTATTTAGCAGCACTACAATTATCGTTATTACATCCCATGGGAGCGCAGGGTACCGGGGGGGGGGGGGGGAGAGAAAGCAGCCAAGAGCTTGTCGTCGTGCTGCATGATTGGATCGAGCAATGGGTAGCAATCGAGGGTATGGACATGTCCTTTTATTATGTGCAAAAATCTTCTGCCAATGCATTATCTCTGCTTATGTATGCTCTCTACATGAAAAACTTGAAGTGGATGAGGAAGACAAAAAACGACGAACGAGCGAAGATCCATCAACTCGCTAATACGAGGTAGAGTCTTCAGCGTCCTTCTCTTTTGGGTCCAAACGCAGCCGCGGGTACACGAATGACAAAACGCTGCGTTGTGTGGATGATGTCAAATATACGCCAACACTCGTGAAAACTGTTTCATATTCACGAATTGTGATTAGTCATTGTTGATGTTAACGATGAGACTGTATGTACATTCTCTGTACTTCTAAGAAGGTTGGGGTTGACGCTTCGTATGTAGCATAATATGTACCTTACTGTAACGCTGAATGTATTTAGCAAATTGTGCTTAATTGCACATTAGAAAACGGATCCTCGGCTTTGTCAAAGCCCTCTCTGTATTCACATCGACTCACTACCATCGATTTTGCGTCACGACGAAATATCTCAAAAGTGCCTCATGTAGTAACAACTGTTCATCTAAAATAGGTGTTACGTTCTAGATATCACAGACAGAGGCCAATTCAGTGATATCTAATGTATATGTACTTATGTGGTAATATACTAGTTGACGTGGCTCACAGTCTTATGCTGTAAGGATTCTATAATCCGCTTTAAGTTATGGTTAATTGGGTCGTAGCGAAGTCTAGGGAGAAAACCCTAGAAATGTAAATTTCTGTGTAGATTGTGTATAGATAGCCAGCTATTTTTTTTTCTAGAGTGCGCAAAAGGAGACGAACTCATCCGAGAAGGTTGTCACCACCTGGCCTATTTCTTCTTTACCTGCACAGCAGGCCTAGCATAAGGCTCTTCCTGACGGACAAGTCGAATGTTGTATTGCTTTGATTCGTTTTATCCTAGCAAAAGATCTTGATTGTAAATGTATTCTGTACCAATACTATGGACGTCCTAGATTTTACGGGAACTTTCGGGTCGACAAACATGTATACGCCGCACTTGTCCGAGAGGTACCTCTGAATAGATCAATGAAGCTGTGTGTTTTGCGTTTCTTTCGAAAATGGAATTTGAATTTTGTACAAATACAACATTACAGTTAGCACAGGGTCGAAACGAAATCTGTAACCTATCTGAAAGCCAACCGCACTCACTTCGTATCGTAAAAATCAAGCTAGTTCCGACTAAAGTTATTACAAAGCTTTGAATATCGACCAGGCCGTTTCTACCAAGGCTTTCCTATAAGCTCTTTTCAATACATCATCTATTATATACGTATTCGACGAGATGACCTTAGTGAAAAAAAATTCTACAGACAAGAGGTACACTCGTACACTTCTCTGACGATTTCAGGCGACCGGCTACACGACTTTGATATCCGAGTAGGACCAAACCCAATTACTACCGACTATGATGACGTCCATTTCAAGCTTAACACCAGGTGAATAGTTCTTTTGTTTTTTTACGCTTACAGGTTTCCTTCGTCAAACTAACGCGAGACCGCTGAAATCATCATCAGCTGCCGTCCGTTATACACGCTATAATGCTAACAGCGTATCGACTCATTCACTGATGTGAGCCGACTTAGTAAAGCAAGCGAGTCAAGATGCTTACCACGGCTCTACTTACAGGCTCATGCCTATCAACCCATCGTTCGTAGACCCGTTAGAGATCTCATTCTCTAGTCGGTTTTTTATCGAGAATATACAAGTGTATATACGATAAAGCTAAGCACAAATGTGCTTTTTGCCCTCCCTATGTTCATTGGCATACCTCAGAAATTTGTCTAAACAGCTCAGCTAACTTATGATTACGTACTATAATTATTATAAAGAAATTACCGTATACGGCGTCAGTTATCTAATATTAATAATATGTATAATATGGTGACGTACAATATACAGATATCGTAGAAAGTATGATCATTTAGCTTGTGTAAGTCGTTTTTGAACGTAGGCTGCTTGCGTTCACGATTTATAGGTTTTTAGTTTAGACACCTTAATGGCAATGAACTATATTCTCTGTCTCGTTTATGAACAGGCGGATTTGATGGCAATCAAGATCAGACCTTCGTGACTCCCCTTTTTAAAGTCTCTACATCTGAAGTCACTATTATCTATTCTATGATTTGACTCTCCACGACAAACGTTGCATAAATGATCTGATTAGTCTATTTGTTTATTTGAACTTGTCGTACGTGAGGCTAGCAAGAACGAAACAGAGAATGATCAGACTCGAGGGAGGTAACATACTGAGGCATTTCGTTAAAGATTAATCTATTGACGTAAAAGGGAGCGCCTTACACAAACGGTTCGTTGTTTACACACGCCTAATTGCGAATGCACAGCAATACAGTTAGGCCTTCATTTCAAGAAAAATCGAAAACCAATGTCTTTCTTTTCTTGGTCGGTTACCTTTTCAACAAGTCTCGTATATGGCTTTTTTGCTCGGTGGTTTTTTCTACTATGGCATATATTCTACATTTAGATGTCACAAAAAAAATCTCCGCATTACAGCTAAGAGTTTATCCTCTGTCTTGATTGCCGAAGCTAAGATGGCTCTACACCATCTAGCTATCTAACGAAGGCTTTTAGGTATTGACGCTCGCTAGAAACGTTTCTACGTTCCTCAACTGATTTGTACTCTCTTTGGGATGGTCCTCCAATTGTGCGAATCCGAAATATCTATATGTAAGTATGCGCAAGTTCCCACTGGCGAGGTGCGTCAGCAGCTTCCCACCAGCAATCCACTACTCTCAATCCCATCCGAATACCCCAATTTAAGCAAGCTTGTTACGCTGAGCGGAATGGAGGCCAACAGGGCTTACCAAAAACGGCGAACTGGCATTTAGCTTCCTAGTAGTTCCCCTACTATATGCTGTTCTGACCGACTACTGCATCGCTGGCAGGCTTAGCAGCCTAAGGGCCTTGTGTTCAAAGAGGCCTTCCCTTAGCTTTATTTTGCCATCCCCAAGAGACACTATTGAGGTACATATCCTTTTGTGCATGCTGGATAAATACACAGAAACAGCTGGACGCCTATCCTGGCCAGTCGGTTGGACCTATGACGGTAGCGCGCGATTGCCAGCTGCTTTTATAAAGACGGACGACTGGCCTAGATATTCGCCGTGTGCATCTATGTCTACGTATGCTCATGCACAGAGCACGCAATGTTAGCCGCGATGGCCAACACGTCGGCTGCCAGAAATTGAAACGTTTTTCAATTTGCTTACGTACAAAGGCTTGTTCTACATGTATGAATGTATGATTTCGTGATCTTGAATGGCGTGTCATCGAATGTATTGGACCGAAACGCATGTTATTGTTCCTGGGTTCTTCTTAAAGGGCTTTTTTAGATTAGTGACAAATTCATCTTTACGAATTGGCAAAATATACAGAATATCATTAGTGGTATTGTTTGTGGAATCGCGAACTCAGAAAATGAAGCAACTGATATGACGATTAGATAGGAGCATGAAACAACAAACTCTCAGTATAGACTTGCTACAAAATGCTTCAACAGCAAAAAGGCAGCTAGGACCATAGAAAAGGTAAATAATAGCGAAAATACTTAACGCACTCATTTATCGCTGTTTTACTGTAGAATACACACGCGTCTATTGAGTAGTTCTCAAAACTCTCGCAGTCATTTGCATAATAAACAGGTTACCAAGTTTGGGGCTTAATTATTATTTCATAAATTCGGATTTCTCTACTGCGCAGTACGCATAGCTTCGCCCTTTACCTACGCAAGATATCTTAGATTCAGAATTTTGGTCGTCTTATATTGAAACCATCAAGACAGACGCAAAACATCATGAAGATTTTAAACCTATGAAAATAAATTGTATTAAAATCTCGTTTACAGATAAAATGTTATGTTACCCTCGAACTGTGCAGCCGCCATTGATCCAAAAATAGGAAAGAACAGTTACGAAAATATATGGCGGCTCTGCTTATCCTCAAGAGACAACATAATCAGTAAAAAATCTGTCCTATTTATTAACAGCCCTTTTTTTCTAATAAATGACCTGTACTGGCGCTTCGACGCTACAGACGTATCCGTACATTCTATTTCGTTGCTGATACGTTACGGATCCGAGCCAAAATATCATATTTTACATGCATGTTCTAGCTATTTACATACAAGCTACACTGCGCATGGTACCCTGACCGCTATGAATCTTAGTAAAGATGCTACCAGTCAAGCACTTCTGTAGCATTTTCAACTGCCTTTGTAACTCTTCCGCTGAATAATGCCGTTACAGTTATCCACAGCATTGCCTTCTTCCGCATAACATGCATGGCTTATTTTCTTGGCAGCCTCTTATACCAACACAGAAATAAATATATTTAATAAAGTAGATTTTGCAGAATTAATTGTGAATTGATGATTTGTTGTCAAAATCAGTTTCTATGAATAATCTACTAGAGAATCAGGCTTTAATAGGCCTTGTGTGGAGGGGAACCGTGATTGGACAGATACAACTGGGAAGTATAGCGTTATAATCCAGTTTCGCCGAACCATGCGTCCCAGTTGTGTCTATCCAATCATGTATCTCTTTCAAACCATGTCTATTGAAGCTTGATTCTTCAGTAACTTATTTGCAAAAACTTATTTTTGCAATACAATCAATTTGGGGTACACTAGGCAGATTTTACTTTCAATTTGCTAATCTAATTTTAAAGCTGAGCTTGAGAAGCATGTAGGGCACGACCGCTCGCTTGCCTGCTAGGTACTTTTAACCCATTTTTTAGTTTTTCTCTCATTTTGACAGCACGTTTTACTAAAGATCAAAAACCTCGAATTGCTTGCTGGAAGAACTTACTGATGCTTTTTCTTTGGTAGATGAAATCATTTTTGCCAGCCATAAAAATAGGTGATAACGTTGGTAAATTTGACTCGTGATGTAGTTCGTCGCTCCACCGAAATAGCGCAGCATAGGCCGTGTGCTATAGTCGAAATAATATGAGAAATATGTTCCGATTTGCTTTATCGGTAGGAATCATTATTAGGTAAGTGGTATTGTAGAACGCTATAATAATATCATGCTTTTTGATTGGAGAAGTTTTTTTATACTGAAGGGGTGTTTGCGCAGCAATCCTTGTAATGCTTCACTTGATTAAAGTTTTGCTGGCAGAGCTTAAAATTCTAAGTACACATTTTCCGTATCAGAGTATACGTACCGACTCTTTTAAGCTGGAAATTCCCTGAGCAATTGGAGGTATAGTCGTACGGAAATAAGGACTCTAGAAATTGCTTGCCTGGAACTCAAAAGCTTATAGACCATAGTGTTGGCTCATTCTCTCTATGCAATCATTTTTTTAAAAATGAATTTTCCAATCCATTTTCATTATGGGCAAATTAGGGTAAAAAAAAATCATGCACAGTGACTGTAGTAGATAAATACTGCTGCTGCTGTAATAGCGTAGTGAAGTAGCGGCAACACCCAAAGCATATTAACTGATGTATTCACCGATATAAGTATTATATCACAACGAATGGTTATAACCAATGTGAGCATTTTAGTTTTCCTTATCTTTACATCGTCTGATAAAGCGTTTTATAGAATGTTTAATGTCTATGAGGAGCATGTATTAAGTACGGAATTTGATTTCTACAAAAGTGAGTTATGTCTCTAAAGTTGCCTTTTTCGAGATTCGCAGCTTTACTTAGTGGTGCTGCGGCCAAGTGAAACCCGCCGCTCGAAGGACGGTCGTGGTTAGAGTGCAGTCGTCAGAGGGTCAAAAAAATCGGGTGCAGAAGAAATGCTATAAGTCAGAGGAATAGAAGTCAAAAACCGAAGTAAAGAGCGCCAAAGATTAAACACCCGACTTTTTACTTTTGTTCAATTGCGAAGTTACTTGGCTTTTATTACTGGACACGATTTCTTCTGTTGCATGACATTTTGATTATTTCTGTTTTTCTCGACTCGTGCTTCCTCTTTATCTGTACCCCACGTGCTGATGCCCCGCTTACAGTTCACCACGCATGCCCTGCCAGATGGCTCGTTTAAGCTGCTGCTACTGCCACTGTTGTTCTTACCCGTGCTCAACCAATTTCGAAAATTTAATAAGTAGAAACGGCTCATTCGGAGAGCTGTTGACAGCGACGATGGTGAGGCTCAGCCTTCGAGGGCGCCAGCAGAAGTTCGGGCAGCGTTCCGAAGGTGAAGATGGGGAGTGAGTAGGGGTCGTAAGGGGGCGCGGAGTAACGGCTTGAAGAGCACACGAAAGCGAAACAGTGATGTGACAGAGCTGACCAGGCAAAGGCGAACGAGCACCCGAGAGTGAAGCAGCAGCTGAAGGGGAAGTAGTATTAGAGAGGAGAGAATGAACACAACAAACAGCGAACTGAAATAGTTTGTACGTGATGCTACTACCGCCACCTCTTTGGTCGACGTGCGTTCTGCCTTTCACTACATATGCCCCATGTTCGATCAGCGTCTCTGTTGTTACCCGTTTCCCGACAGCCTGAGCAGATTCCCTAATACTTATCCAAAGCCGGTAGTATCTACCTATCTGTGTTCAGGCTTGTGTCGACTTTCGTCTTTCCTACGACCTCTAAGCAGCTCAATATTGCAGGCCTTTACGGCAAATCCCAATTCCGCTACCGTAGGCCACTCGTAAGACTCGATGCCATGATTAAGGACGACTGAATACCGGCACATGCTTTTCATCATTCCAACGTGAAGTACACGGAAAAAGGAGCAAACTAGAGAAAGAAAGCGGTTGCAGTCGTCGTACTAGAAAAGGCACAGATGCCTTGGCCTTATTTTCTTTCCTTGTTCGCTGGTGATCTCTCTTTTCCGTCAGAGAAACAAATGACCTCCGCTACGGCACAGTTCACCATTGTTAGCGTTGTAGTTGCTGCCACAAGAACTCCCGCTACGGTCGTTCTTCCTTCGTGATACTTGACTAGCTCCTCAAACGCTTAAGCCTCTTAGGTTCTAAGTGCACTTTCATGCTAGTCCTGTTTTTTTTTTGCTTTCAGGGCGACTCTCGCTTCTTAGTCGGCTATTAGCACAGTGGGAAAGTCGGCTTTGTTTAAAGGAAAACGTGCATGCCACCAGAGGAAACTTACATATGTATCAGCAGATAAAAACTGCATGAGCTACTATACGCGATGATTGCGTAGTGATTTTTCAAATTAAAAGGTGTAAACATAACTTCATGCTATGTAATAAAATTCACTTACGAACTAAGCCACACATATGGATTTGCCGTCTATACTTCGCTTGTGTGCCATACGAGCATAAACTAGCCGGGCAAAGGAAGGAAATGTCGAAGGTTTGCAGGTTGACACTGTTGAGCTCATGTGTACCTACATAGATATGATTAACCTGTTTTATATGCTATATGCAAAAATACTATTGTGTAACTGTTCGGTAATGTAACAGTTCGACTGAAAAAGGTCATCAGACCTAATGTTTTGATTTTTGCGTTTGTGACGGTTGCCAAACGTTGCTCGGGTGATTTTCTTGTCAAAGGTTTTTAGCGGGGACGTCTCATACAAAATAGCCCTGTCTACTGGATAGAGAAGTTTGCTAAGCGACGCTAATTGTATCCGTAATCATTTCCAGCTCGCTGCAGATTTCGTCTCCAGTAGTGCTATGAATGGGTTTATTAGAAGGGAGGAAAAAGCCAAGTAGTCGTGCAAAGATTTTCTGCTTTTTTCTTCTTTCACCGAAAAGGATACCGTACCTGGGTTAAAAATCTGTTAATACAGAGTCCTTGTAGTGTTTCTAATGTCCTACCTATGTGCATTGATATAAATGAACCAGGTAAAACATTTTTTGATTCAGAAATTGTACCGGGCGATTGCGGCAATTAACCCTAATTTCAGTGAAGTTTCGCCAGAAATCGCTTAGCACTTGTTGTTGAAACGATAGTCCACGTCATTATGTTTACAAGGAGTAAATGTAATAGGCAAAATGAAATCATCCTATTATTGTATACTAATAGAACTCTTAACGGGAGTCCATTGCTGCACCGGATATATTGATCGATTCTGCGTTGCGAACACCAGCCATAGCTTTGATCTCATCTAACCCCAGCCTAGAAGGTTATATAATGGCAGTTTGTGCAAAATAGATTTTTTCGAAAGGAGACTAACATCGGTTTAACCTTCAGCAGCGACGGGAGTTTATGCAGTTACTATGGATTAGATGTTTATAACATAATTAGGTAGGACAGTTCCTGAAAGCAGGGATCGATCTGTGTAGGCATTTCATGATTTTGGATAAGTGTAAAGTTTCAGCTATTGAACGTGTATCGTTTGAACATTTGCCAATTACTGAGCTTAATTAAATTTTGCTTACCTTATTTACAGGTGTTACTACAATGACAAAAGCGGTATACAAGACGAAGAGCTTCGCCCATTTATGTGCAAACCTTGCCCGATTCGAGGCCGATACGTGACCATACAGATTACGCAAAACTGTACTGACTGCAGAGAACCTTTAAAGAACGTACTCCAGCTAGCAGAGGTTGAGGTTTTAGGATTGCCATAGACCGGTCACAGTCCCCCTATTTTCACGCTTATGACGACGATAAAATAGCTTCGTACGAAGCGGTCATTTGGAAAGAATAGCAGTAATTTAAGAAGCATATGTTTTCCTTAGAATGCAGAAACTAGGTTTGCTTACCTGGCGGAATTCGGTTTTATTAACTAATTAACTAACCATTAAGGCCGGAAATTCAGCCAAAATATGTTCTCTCATTTCAAATGTCGCTAACGGTCGAATCTAAATAAGGGACAGTAACCAATTCGTTGATCAAACGAGAGACATTTTGATGAGTTCGCAAAAAAAATTACTTTTGACATAAATTTCAACGCAAGGTTAATCACCTATAAGGAAAAAGGAACCTATTAAACAACATGGGAAGTTTGAAAGAAAAGAGTGCTCTGACAGGTTTACAACAACAACTTGTACATATCTGTTATGCGTTGTCAAAGGAACCGCACATTTCAATATGATGGCAAACTGTTGCCATTAAGACTTGCTTAATGATAAGTCATAAATATACTATATATATATATATAAGCAACATTAATACTTAGTAATAAATGTAATGATGTTGGACAGAGTTCCGCCTGCATTTGTTTACTTATTCTTATCTAGATTTTTTTAACAAAAAATTATTTCGATGACTAAATTTTGTCTAGGCTTAGGCGAAGGAGCGCCTTTGAATTTACGTAGAAACTGCATAGGTACTATTCTCAAAAGGTAATATTTTTTTTATATAAACTCAGGTTTAATTGATAATATATAGATGTAATAACAGTAATGATAATAACTACCATTAGTTTATTGTTTTCAGCCACAAAATGTATGCCTATAGTTTTATTATTTTATTTTATGAAGTTTGCCGCTTTTGCACAAAGTTCTTGACGCGAGTCTCCTTAAGACATCTCATGTACCAGGTATAATAAGAAAATAAGGTGCACTCTACCACGTGCTATTCATTATTTGATATAGCTATATGCAGTATCTGAAAACCAAGCTTGCAAAAAGCCACAGTCAGTCTAACTACTGCTTTATCTGATTCATTCTCTTCTGTGCCCCAATAGCCTCTATTGTATTATACTTGGTTGAATTTTTGTTAACGTTTCCTCGAAAAGGTAAATTCGGGGGTCAGTTGTTAGTAGTGGCAAAGGTAACGTAGGTTCCCAGTGAAATTTAACATAAAATTATACGTTTAATACCTGCTTTCAACCGTAGAACCTATGACACATCCGAAGTTAAATGTAAACACTGGATTCACGAAAGTAAATACATACTCTAATCGTTTATATGCATGAAAAAACCCTAATCTATTTAAAAGGGCCAGTTAGATTTAGCTATCTTTCCTTACTTATTGTATCAAAGTTTAATAAAATACTGGCAAGGCTTCAATAGGTGTGATAACTCGATAACAACTTGCTGTAAAATGTTTGCAATAGCATCTGACTTCGAATGGCGGATCTAAAATCTATGGACGGAAATCAGTTGGCTATCAAACTGCGTCGCCGTGCCGGCCGCCAATGGCTTTAGTGCTTCTAGCACATGGAAGCCAAACGTGGTAGATGATTCTCAGAGGGAAACTTACAGGAGAAAGCTTCCTTATTCGAGACATAGATAGCACGGGCTCTTTGCAGTGTGTGGCGCTAATAATGCAGACGGTCTTTCAACACTATTCGACTCGAAACGGTCAGTAAGGTGGTAAGGGGAAGCGTCTGCGTGTTGTTAAAGATGGTCGATAATAACGCGACAACAACTGTGTTTGCTTCGAAAGTGGTTCCAAGTAATGGAACTTACGAAATATGAGCTACAGAAAGTTTGAAAAGTTAAGTGAAAAATGGTTCATCATATCATCGTAAGATATCGTAGCCAGCTTCTCATAACTCACACTGTCCTATGTAAACGTATGAACTTCATGCGTGGTTAGTTGATATTGTAAAGATTGCAAAGTTAGACAACGGAAACAGCCGGCTTGGTAGTCAAGGAATGACTATAATAAATTATATTGTATCGTGCCCACATTACTAAATAGAGAATCCGTTCCTCTTATTATTCAATTGCTAAAGACAAGGAATAAAATATCGTTTCATATGCAAACAATGCAGACCTGCACCAGACCTTTCTGATTTAACGTCTTTGAATTTTTTTGATTCGAAATGGCGAGCGCGCTATGGCAATTTCAAATCTAGACTACACCCACTTAAAAAATGAGTGAAATCATTCAGAAATTATCCTAGACTTTTAGCGTGGCAATTGTGTACTTGGTTTATCGTTTTCACTCTATACGACCAATACGTATTGGTCTAAAAGACAGGACCTAAATGCTAGAGAAGTATACAAAATACGGCATCTAAATTGGTAGCTTTTTCATGGTTTGTTTCTAAAACTACATCTAAATGAAAGCAGATCTATTAACAAAAAAAGTTACATTCTCTAGAAGTGCCATTATTAGTGATCATGTTTATTCAATATAACAACCAGCTACCGTGATTACAGTCCTAGTTCTGGGCCAAACCAATTACCAGTCGTTTTCGTCAGTAACTCTTTAGCACTAATTTTGCATTGAGCGATATTGGCAGGCATGAACCTTTTTAAGTATCGCTTAAGTAAATTGCATACGGGAAATTACAGTAAAACTATTTTTTTTGCTGACAGCAGGCTAAAAATCCCAAAAATGTAGTGAACCATGATGGCGAAAAAGTCCAAAAAGCATAAAAGTACTAACTGTTAGAGCTTTTTTGGATCACTCAATCGATAGTGTATATTTTCCTTTTCTAAACTATAGTTAATTTCCGCATAAAAAGCAGCTGTATCAAAAATAGTTTTTGGTGAATTTTCAAATCCTTTAACCTGTTAAAAAAACTCGCTTGCTTTACAGAAATCTCCCTCGGTTCTTTTCAGAAGTCGCATGAAAATTAACATTAACGTAGACTACAAAGAAAAAGCTTTGGGAGCGTGGAAAAGCTTGATTGTAGATCATTGTAACCTAAATTGCAAAAACGTTTGTTTTCCACTATGGCAAATCTGTTGTTTTGTTCTAAAGAGAACAGGCTTTCTTCTAGTACAAATAAGGATAATAATTTTTTTAACACTGTTGGTTATTTATTTCGTCTCAACAAGCGCTCAGAATCGCCATTTCGATCAGCGTCAAGGATTTGCCTCATTACAAGCCTAACCGTAATGGGTCCTATCGTTTTCCAGAGTTTTTCCAACAGAGCTGTGAAACAGCGTGCGAACCATATAAGCAACTACTGATCGTAATATTAATACCTTCTCTTTTTTTAATTTCTTAGTTTCTGATTAATCTAGTAATGTTTTTTACCGTCGCTGGATTTGAGCCAGCATGACTATGTGCCTGTTAGTTGTAGTTACTATGGCAATGCATTGAAGGGTTTTTTTGCGCACTTATCACCCAGTCCGTGTCGCCCCTATGTGCCCGCTTCGACAAACAGCTCGACAAAGTTTGCTTTTTTAGGTGCTGTACCTTATATAAGGCCATGTGTATTTTTCCAATGTATGCCTTTTCATTCACAGTCTAATCTCTAAAATTCTGAATGTAGCAGAACATTCCTCACGCACCATTGTTATTCCACCACGTTATTCCGAATATAACAGATTTTCTACTAGTTTGATTAAGCAGTGAACGTATTCAAAAAAAAAACGACAATGTTTTTATGCGTTGAAAGAAATCCGTTGCCCTTTCATATTGGCATGTTTAGATCGAAGCAGTACTGCTGTGTTCTTCTCATAGATCTAAACACTATACCTTTCTGTGCTGGCCTGATGCTTCAATTGAAAAAGTTCTTCCCAAACTTATCGTATTTGAGTTTGTCATTTAAGCCTAGCGTCTTCAGCTTTGCCGTTGTGGTTTTCTTTCTGCGCGCAGTAAATTGCTTCGATAATGAAAGAATTTCTGGCCGAGTTAACAATACTATAACTCCCCCATAAAGTTGACCGCCTCTTCTTGGAAGTGGTGTCGCCAGAAGTACATAGCTGAAAGGAATATAGACGATTTTAAAAATATACAGTGGCTGTATCTAGTACCTACGTTGAGGCTAGAGGCTTGTTTAGTGATATGTTAGCAGTATTTAAAGTAGATTGATTGTCTATAGTGTCAGTCAGCAGAAGGACGGACGTTGACAATGGGTTTATATTGTTACAGCCTTAAAATAATTTCGTGGAGGTAACACCCGTTCCAAAAAATATGTCTAGTTTAAGAGAGCCTATAGTTATATCTGAACGATGAATGCAATCATCCGTGTTCTATCCATGGCGTGTATCAATATATTTTCTAATTGTTCGGTTTTTCTTTCATTTAGATCTAACTAGTTCATTAAATAAATTTGAGGTGACACGTAAAGTATAAAGGCCACGTATCGTTAGTATCTAACTCAATAACTGGCTCGGTGTGTTTTAAAAATGCCTTACGTTTCACTTCGTGAGACACACACGTTATTATGCACACATAAATATATGTACACGTATATATATATACCTATTGCATTTGCAGGCCGTAGCTAAGAGAGCCTTAAGCTAAGTCGAAGCCGCTTATCAACATTCATAGATCGTAAACCTCTACACAGTTTAGTTAAGTCCAACTATGGGTTCAGTGCGCTGGTTCTCGGCCCTTATTTCCCGTATGTAAGTAAAAGCACATTGAATATCTGACAATTGGTACTAATCAATTAGCAGCGATAACAGGTCAGTATAAGCGAACTAAAAACGGGTAGGTACTTCTATCAGTCCCCTAGAGTAGGGACAAGTTCTAGCACAAAAATACTATTCTGTATACCTTCGATAGTTAATTAGCCTTCACCCTTTGGAGGATTTACAATGTGAATAAGATACTGACAATACTTTATTTGCTACAGGCTATGTGCTATGATTAAAACAGGCTTTCTTGTTGTAGATGTTGAAAAGTTCCCGTTGACCGCACTGCCGCAACACGCCCAGAATGCTTGCCCAGTTACTTGTTTTTCATGTCATTTATTCCTACAATCTCTTGCACCCATTAAAAAGTCACTAATAGCATAATGATCATGAAAAATGTGCTTGTTCCTTAACTCAGTACTCGTTCCCCGCTGGGCATCGAAAACATTCGTCCACTATCATTAAACAAAGGGTCGTTAGTAAATAAATAAAACTATCGTAAATAAAAGGTGCACATGTTGACATAGTTACGTCTAAATTAGGGGAACTCTCTTCCGTCATATTGTAGCCAGTCTGAAAAAAAAAAACCATTTTCTGTTGTCGTAGCACACAAGTATTGCTACCGTCGTCGCCTAAATGTCAAGACGCCGTCTGCATTTCTATATTGTCTTAGGAGCCGCTTATGTGAAATAGCACATTTTCGGTATGCCTCGGAACAAACGACAAGACAATGATTGAACGCGCGAAGAAAACAGACGTGATTATTCAGAAAAATGCATAGAATAAATTGAAATAGTTCAAATGGGCTCCATTAATTAATTGATAAATCAGTAGCGTTTTTACCCTTTAGAAAAAAAAAATTGAAAGCAGCAGTAACAAAATAAATAGTGCAACCATGAAAAGCAAAATCAACTTTATGATTTATATACTGCTTGAATATTCAAGCATCCCACGTACATGAACGACTCTAAGGATATATAAACGTTTTTAGCATATGTTTTGTGAATTTTCAAAAAAGTTCTCTAAAAGTACACGATAATAGAAAACCTTAAAAAAGTTAATAATTAATAGAAAACCGAAAAAAAAGTTTCGTCTAAAGAAACTGTTTAAAACTGGCATATCGCGCACTTTTGTACATGCATGTAAAAACTGTGAAGTTTGTTTGGATGAAACACATGTACGTGCAGCTTCAAAATCCACTTGTTATTGTTCTAGTGCCCCAAACACATTTGAATAGTTCTTAGGTTTCCTATTGATTATCGACTTCCCTAAATGCACTGCCCGCGTTTCTATTTGTGGGCTCGCGTGTACGACAACTCTATCTACGATTACTGGGAATCGGCACAAGACGGTGTCCAGTACTACCATTATACAGAATCCAATATGGAGCACGAACGACTTGTATCAAAGCGGGTGCAGATTCATCGTATGTTTATCAGAAACGAACCCCTACATCTATTATTGCGTCACAAAACTTACTGAACTTAATGACTGACGTTTAAGTATACTGGAACTATGATATTTTAATTGATTAGGTAATACATAGCAAACAAAACTACTACTTGATCCGTGGCGGATAAAATAAGGTTGTTAAATCCCTGCTTCGTATCTAGGTTTTAACAAGGCTCATGACTTCGTATACGATCATTATTTCATCATGGGGACAATCCACTGCTTCTAGCAATAACGCTTGAAGCAAAACGATATGATATACAGAGTCTGACGTGCGCGTCGTTACTTTTCTGTTCGTCTCTTTAAGCACTGCCAACATAATTTTTTTTGCTGATTGTTTTCCGCTGGCATGTATAACTCCGAGCAATGTAGAGGTACTACATATTGAAAACAACGGTAACACTTAGATACCCTCAATCTCGAAGCTGTTATAAAACATCTATCGTTCTGTTTTCAAACAGAGCAATTCGTTACAAAATATGAAGATAACACTTATAGGCTTAATGATTACATAAAGTGTAAACTTTTAGAAGTAGAAAGTCAGGCTTTTTGTTGGGCCTAATTTATCATTCATGAATTTAGTGAAAGACTTCAATGTTGTTTGCTCGTATCAGGCATGTCAAATGCAAACACTATAGAAGGCTAAAGAGTATCAGCGCGCAAGGGGCTCGGAGACCAGAGAGTCACACGAATTGATCTAGATTTGAGCTCCGTACGAACGTAATCCGAGTGAAGCGCCTTCTTTTGAAAGTTGTCTTTTTCCAACAGGAAAGACAGGACTGAATAAAAGCTGAAAAAAACTGTAGATCAAAACATTAACTGAACATAATATCGGTATAGGCGCTTTTGAATGTCGAACTTCACGAGCCGAGTCGGACGGCGTACGTGTCTAGAGTTCTCACAGCTAATATTAGAAATAAAAGGCAACGCTTCTTTTTGACGCAGACTCTTTGACATATGTGCTAGGTTGGTTCGCAATGCTTTTCTTTTCATCTTTGAGTTGAAAGACAGAATACACGAGGGGCACAGCAACCGCACAAATTTTATGCCATTGCGTAAAGCTGGAAAGTTTCCTATTAAGAAACGCTATATGTAAAGGACATCTAACGTTAGTAAGTTTCATCATATGAGAGTTCGTATATTATAACGACGTAGAAGTCTAGCTTTAATCGTATACGACGGGACCAATCTGTTTCATACGGGATTTCAACCGCCATCTTATACAATGCTAACATACTTTCGGACAAAATATTTATTCACAGTAAAAACTATACGAGAAATTCCGCCACCTCTATTACTTTTTTGTCATAATAAGTTCATACGTCAAACTGCGACCCCTTTTAGATAAAAAGGTTTAGAATAACAAATACGTTCATAATCAAAAAATAAGTAATCATGATGTGTATGTAATGCTGCAGGTATATGCGAGCCTACGCCACTTTTGTGTAGGGGTCTGTTAATGGACTAAATCTGATATCAACGAGCCCGCATAGGACTGCGAGCTCTATTAGCAGTCAGCACATATTACGCGGATACTCGACTCTCCATCAATGCAAGAGATAATTCTGTTATGTTTGACTTTTATGACTGATCTAACGGGCCGTGCAGAGGCTGGCAAATTTATCCACCTTCCGTCAATTTGAATGCAAGCATACCAGAATAGATACCAGCACAAAAATGATAAGAACACAAACAATCAACATTCTATATCGAGTTTGAGATGTTTTCGTAAGCTTTGATATCAATACGTATTATTCATTTACATAGTTCTAGTGACAAAGCCAGTGATGGCGCAATTGGCCGAAAAACAGCACCAAGATGCTCAATCCAGGACGTTGGTGGTTCGAATCACTTAACGCGCATATATATGTGCAATATGCCTACCAATAAAGTAAGGAAACGTTTCAAATGTGTACCGCTTCGGAGAAGTCACACTTTTTACTATAAAATTCAATGCGTACACAGAAAATTTATTTGTGCGTTCAGATTTGCTGTGTGATCTTATAATACTTTCTGGGGGCGTTGCATCTCAAACTATTCTAGTTGACAACTACTCGCTAGTGGCTCAACTCCGTTTGTAAAATGCCCCAATATTCAGTATGCTGCAGGTGGCGATTGAATTAAACAAATAGTACCAAATATGCATGCCCTTTTGATACGGTACTACGTTCTGCTTGGGCTCTTGACCTCATAGCATTTAATGTGTTAAATATGATACGGGTTTTTCATCTACTGATTCATGAATTTATTCATTTAGTTGCCCCGCCTACCCTGCCACACCGCAGCGTCATGTTAGAAATAACTGATTTTCTTATTTGAGTTATTTTACGCGAATGTTCTCAGTCCAGTGTTTTTGACTCTTCTTAGAAAAACATACCCAGATAAGTGTAATTGTATTCACCTCACAGCGTATCGTTGAGTTCAGTTTAGCCAACAGGTGACTGAAATTCATAAGAATTTTTCGGTCGGTTCATTAACATTTATTGCTTAGAGTTGAATTTTATATAGTTCGACGAGACGAACTTGATTTTCAAGAATCTCAATATGCACTTTTAGCATTATAGCACGATTGTTCAATAAAGCAGTATTACTTTTGTAACTTTACTCGTACCTAAACTGGAATAAAGGTAGAAACATGTTTTCTGATGCTGCTAACCGCTACTGCTGGTAAATTTCAGATAATTTTTTAACACGTAGATAGGTATAGTAAGTCTAAGCTATAAAGTACATAAACAATTACCGCCTTAACGATCATCTAGAGCGAACAATGCTTCGCAAAAGTACCCATTGCTTCACTTGTGCATAGCCAGAGATAAAAGACTACCATGTATCTAGCTCACACAGTTTACACATATCAACTTCTATGTGAAAACACAAACGTTGAAAGAAAATGCGCGTGACATCGCTGGGTGTGAACGTCTGCTGGTGACTTCACTATCCACCTCCGGTGGTGTTCTGGTGCCCGCCACCATGATTACAGCAAACTGAAACTATATCTAAAACTACAGTTATTACTGTATATTCTACAGATAGAATAGTGATAGCGTGCGACCGTCTGTGACGCGCCACGAGGTTACCCAATAAAAAAGCAGTGAGACGATGGCATGACCGCCACAAGGCTGGATGGGCTCGGCGCCGATTCGAATATCGCCGCCGTCACAATGTATATACATTGAACTATTTCTATTATTATATTGCCCCCACGTCAACGAACGGCAGTAGAAAGATGCCTGGCCTAATACTGACCGACCATCGCTGGAGGCTTGTGAACAGCGGAGCATGTGTTTAGCGATATACAAATTTCACCACTAGCGCCACCACCACCTGGAAACGACATACGCATAGACCCAATAACAAAATAGGTGCGATTTTTTTTTATTAACACTACCAGCATGTATATGCAGGAAATATTTATTTAGGTGTGTCTAAATATATACTGAGTAGATCAAAAGGCTTTAAACAATTTGAAAAATGTGCTGTACGGTCAAATCTGCTCCCTATTGAAATAATTTGCATATTTCTAGCTACCTTAACGTATGTGAAACGTAGACTGTCCAACCGATTGAAAAATTTTCGTTCACCCTACATATATATATATATATATATATAACGACAATTATTCGATATGATTGCTAATTTATAATAGATTTACCATTCAACCTGCACGTGTCGCAGTTGTTATTATCGGCGCCGACACTGTTTTTAATTGTATATATCGCAAGGATAGGGCATAGAAAAACAAAGATCTGGGCGAAAAAAATAGAGCAAAGAGGGAAAAAAAGCATGGGATCTGCATTTCAGTGTTTCAATATATCCTGTCCGGCACTGGAATGATGTAGCTTGATAAATACACCGCTTAAAAAACAGTGAACAATGTTACTTTTGTTTAGGCCGACAAGTAAATTGGACAAGGGTTCTAGGCGCAGGTAGTGATTGTTTCTAACACTACACGAAAGCTGTGTCAGATGATATGTTTTGTCAAAAGCTATTTCTACTGACTTGATCATTATTAGGAAGATGAATTAAAAGTCACAAGCATATTGGCCCTTCTTCATAAAGCGTGGATTTTGAAGTTGCGCTGACGCCTCAAAGCCCCTTTCAATCGATTAAATTTGTAATATAACCCGTCCTTTTAAATAAGCTTCATTTAGTAGGATAGTATAATTATAACCTCAAACCGCAATGCAATCGAACTTCTTTTGCATGTAGTACGGCAAGAGTAAGAATAATGGACAGACTTTAACGCAAGAAAAACGACTATTTACGTAGCCAGCCTATCCATCTATATCAGATATGAGCGATTATTATTGTTAGTTATAGAAAATATAGACGTTCTATCCAGCATGTGGGGTCAAACAGAGACCAATCCCGTTAACAATTCAGTACGTTTGTAGATACGCGATTTTGGGGTAAACGCAGCCGATCAATTTAAGCTTGCTAAACGGCAGCAGATCATATGTCCTTATTTAAAAAAGTCCTGTAATGATATTATTCGATGTGCGTAAAGAAGAGGACCTAAGATGTGCGTACATTGCTTTGCTAAAAAAGAGATGAGTTTGCCTAGCCAACGTATCAGAAGATAGATACTCAAACATAAACCCAACATAATTACAGCCTTCAGCGGACATCCATTGGGTCAGACTAAAATATACAGACTTTAACATCATGCAGACATATTAAATAGCAGGCATATTAAAATTAGATTAGAAATAGTCGGTCCTGTTAAATTCTGCAGACTGATTTACTTAGTTTTTTCGGGAGCTAATGTCCGCTTTTGTTGCTTGGCCCTCTTTTCTAGTGTTTTTCGTTTTCTAATAGTCATGTTTCACATACCGATAAAAACGGCTTCTTCGCTTCACAAGGCCCTTGTCTTTAGTTCACCCATATCGCAAAATTCTATTTTGAATTAACATTTCAATGACAGGTATCTCAGGAAATAACGAGTGAATTTTTGGCACTGATTTTTATCGCTGTCAAAAATGGTGCAAGAAAATATGGTGCGCATTCAATGAAAGCTCGACATCTAAAAGATACAGGCTTATCTGGGAAATTTATCAAAATTGACTCAAGATATTCCTTGTCAAACTCAGAAAGCCTAGAGAAGTGCGTTTATCAGGTCGAGAATGCTATGTTTGCATAACAAATAATAACATAACAAACCGTTGTGGAGACAAATTCAAATACGTGTAGGTTCCCTGTAATACTTGACACAGCTGAGCAGGCCTGTTTCGACTGATCCAGAATGTAAGATGACGAAGGTAAAAGTGCTATTCCTATTATCAGACGTACCCATTTTTTCGAGTCCAAGTCTTCGGTAACAATCAGCAACTCGTAAACGATAATTACGACCTTTTGAACAACTAAGTTGAATATAATGGCATCACTTACCTATGCTCCTATCTACTACTACGGTTTGAACGAAAAAGACAGAGGACCGTAAAAAGGGCAGATACGAATGGCATGATATCTTAAAGCGCCCTTCAGGTGGCCGTGTCTCGGCTTATTAACAAATAATTATAATATTGTGACTGAGTCACAGTTATGGCTCATAAACTTCAAAAACGGCAAACCATGTAAAACACTGCCGTGTACCCTTCAGCTAGATTATTTCTTTTATACTTTTCCACCAAAAGCAGAAATGAATTAAAGCTCAAGGTTAAAGTTCTTTTCTTCGTGCTCATCCAATTATTTCGAACGACGTTGGTGCCCAGATAAAACATCAAAGTCGCTCGGCCCGTGGCTAGTAGGCCTTCTGTGTCCTAAAATTAAATTATCATTATGTGCCCATACATAATCACTTAAACTCACATTGGTTGTTCTAGATGCTGTTTTGTTCCATATATGGTCGGCAGTATAGTTGCCATTACGGAAAATCGGAATATCGCATCGACTAGTCGCTTCAACAAAACAGAAAATGGCGACGCTCGCCTTCGGTGAGATATAGTTCAGCGGCTATCTGCATTATAATCTGCTGTAATACGTTATTGACTGTCAAGCGTACCACCTTTTAGAAGAGCACTATTTACCACGTTTAGAAAATATTCCGTTTGACTGAAATTTACAAAATAAATACAGATTATATTAAAGAGGAGAATGATAATAATTATGTAAACTATAGCATAAATATTTGAAAGCGCATTTGATACAGTTTGCCGCAAATATGCAATACCCAGTCGAGTTCATAATGGGTAGAGCTTCGATGCTCGATTAAATCGGATTTCTAGCCGGTACTCATGGTGCTGGTAATCATCCAAGCTTTATGATTTTCGATTTTTAGGAAGTTTTTAGGTTTTTGAAAGGCCCACACTCGTATCTCGACCACCTATACGTATACTTTAGGCTTTAGAGTAAAGCGTACAACGCGCCCTTTACTGCTCATATAATGAAAATTCCACCTGATAATGAGCTCCTACATAGCATGTAGCCCAACTTCCACAGCGCTTTGTTTGTCCAGGAGTGTTTTCATCGACGTTATTGCGGCCTTTGGGAAGCCAAAGTGTATATCTGCATCCTGACTCAGGCAGGTTATTACTTGTGTTTAGCGACAAACATAGTAATTACATCTAATAGTTACATAAAAGATTAGCTGTAACGCGTGACAATAACAGAGCGTGCGTTAGAAATCTAATATCTACGCGTAAATACGGTGGTTCTCTTTTTTGTAGGGAGGTGGATCTAATTAATCCAACAGTTTGATTGCCTTGATTTGCCTTATTCTAGGCGTACAAAGTCATTTTAAATGGTTGTTCAAGCAAAACATGACGAACGGTACCAGCTTTTAAGAAGCACATCAAGGAAATAGCATTTGACGTAACAGGCTTGCGAAACACTCCTGTAAACATTTTGGCAATAGCTGGTTAGCGTAAAGCACCTAAACTGGTATCGTTTGATGCACCTATGTATGTAGGCGATAGTAGACTTGAGTTTTCCATTATCACTTAGAATCACGGCTGATAAGCATTCAAAGTTAGCGCCTTAGGAAGCCGGAACAGACAAGCAGGCTACGATATGCCTTAGTTGTTTTTTTGTTTATATATTAAGTTTATTTATTAACAGAATGCTAATAGCTTCATGGTGAGGTTGCCCTCAAAAGGGTGCAAGATATGCATAAGTTTATGCACATCGTGATTTTTTTCAGAATAAGCATCATAGTGTATTAAAGTTTTCTTTTTTTTATAGACACAAAATCCGTTGTTAGAATAGTAAGTAGAAAATCCTGTTACGGTATCAGAACGGAAAGAGGGAATACGCGTGGAATAAAATAGTTGAAATACTCGTAACTCCTCATGCATAAGCATTGCCTGATATCTGCTTTCGAAATCTTGATAGATGATACTGGTTTAAAAATAAATAAATATCCAAATAACAGAGCGATCATGCTCTGCCATATTTAGCTTTGTATACATACAATCCTGTCCAATATCAGCTTGGGTTTCACCAGTATCCATGCGAATGTAGTGCACTCATAATAACGCTAACAAAGTAACGAAAACTCGCCAATTAAAGTTATCAGGGTATTATCTAGGCACAGTATTATCAACACACAATGTAACTTTCAGCCGTCAGTGCCCCATCTTTCAACTGAATCATTCTCATTGAATCATAGGATTATACCCCCCGGTTAGCTGATGATGGCTTACGTATGCGGGCTGGCAATCTGCTAGAAGCATCTTAGGCGGGCGTTGTTTCACCGATATGATAGCGTACTCATCTCCGGATGCCACCGCTATACAAATTTTTGTCAGTCTCATAATAATAATAATATTCGACACGGCCAGGCAGGCAACTCCCAGAAGCGTAACAACATTTGCGTGTCGTTATATCATTGTTGCTGCGGCGTTTGATTATTCTTTGTAGTCTTCCCAACGAGTGTTTCAGTTGCGACCGAGTTGACAAATTTTACTGACGTCTGCTTCAGCTAAATTCATCCATTCGTTTATAGCCAGCTCTTAGATACATTTTCATCTTTTTACTTACTCTTTTAAAATGTTAGTAGGTATTCGTAAAAAAACACCGACCCCAACCTGCGGATGGATGAATAAACGAATAGTACAGAACTGGACCTTTTGGGCTCCTCGTATCACCGCCGTGACTCCTTGTCGGTAACAGTAGTGTGGCTTACATCGATACCGCTGACTTCTATATATATATGGTATGAAAAAACTAGTTATGTTGTCGTCCCTGCCCCTTCGTTCGCGTCTGTATTACGATATAAGGGAAAAGAACAAAGCAGACGTTGAAAAATACGATGCTGTTACATATAAATCCGGCGGATTTTGAAACTGAATAGCTTTTGAATTACGCGCCACTGGCAGACGAAATTTCGCTGATAAACACTCCAATTTTCTACAAACTTGTGGAAGAAAGTCTGTTAAGTGCGCTCCTAGAAAGTAAGTTAAGAAGGAACTACATCTTTTGGTCTCGGAAATTAGAAATCAGTGGCAAGTTTTCGATCCAAGGTTTTGTTTGAAGATTTATCAAAAATTGGTGAAGAAAGTAGACAAGGACACCTTAAGCGAAAGTACGATGTCTGCATGTTTTAGGAGCAGACACTTAAGTACTGAAGACCAGCGAGCTGACCAGATGTCGTGACGAGAACAATAAGGCCTGTTGCTACGATCGAGAAAGCTTTTAACAAAAGCGGAGCTTGAAGTTTAAGGGCATTTCTCATGCGACCTGTTACAGAATTATAACCCAAATACTGAAAATATGGAAACCAACTAAAGAATTAATCTTTCGTGAATTGACACCAGGCCAGTTGGAAGTGCGTGTCGTGTATTTCACATGCTGCTTGCAGAACTTTATTCAACAACAAATCTGCCTGGAGCCTACGCTCGCCACAGTCAATTTCTATGGCGAGAAATAGAGAGAGACCAGACAAAAAGACGGCATCACCCCCCTTCAGAAAGAAATCGAGTTCGGTGGCAGTGTTAAGAAGGCTCGAATATAAAGCGATGGATATTAGAGGCATGTGCAACTATTAGACATTCGCTGAAAATGGAATAATAAATGTCTACTAAGTGGAGTTCCTCAAGAGATTTGTAGGTTGTTCGTATGGCAATCAAAAGTACGCAGTCCGGTTACTTTATGACAACGCAAAACCGCATCGCTATGCCTCAATTACTTCCAACACTGAGCAAAGGAATATCCAGAATTAGCTTTGACCAGCTTATTCTTTTGTTCTAAATCCGTGATATAAATTACCAAGCTATTCATGCTCCAAAAAGGGCAACTGGTAGGCAAGCAAATCTCGCTATTTTCTTTGAGAAGGGGTAGACAGAGAAATTATACATGGGAACGTGAATGCTATATATGTGTCAGTCCGGAAACTACTAAAACGCAGGGGCGAGCGTGCCGAAGATCAAATATAGTACCTCCAACATACGTTAAAAAATAATTATTCTAACCCAACTAGACTAATATAAATTGGTATAATTTCAGAGTCTGCTCAGTTCACTTGTAACAGCCTATTAGCAAATCCATTTCCATGTTTTGTTGACCCGCACTTGATGGCAACGTCATCATTAGCTAACAAAGCAACTGGAACATTTATTCCCGGATACGGGAGTACTTCATGTGTATCTATATATATTTGTGTATGTGTAATACACAAACTATGTATGACGATGTGCGCAGGCATCATCAGAAACCTGACGACAATCACTGTGACGGCAGCGATAGCGATCTGTAGAGGTGATCACAGCGGGGGGAACAAACACGACACTGACAACACAGTTCTTACGAGCAGTGATCCACCGAAAAATAGTCGTGATTCATAAACATCATTTGACGATTGCATCAGTAGCGGAGGCATTGGCAGACGTGGCTCACAGTCACTACATTACTTCGTCACTGCTCTCGGTTCGATATATTATGATGTCGAGCCATCATTGTTACTATCGGTGTTCATTCGTTTGTTCGCTGTTGCTTTCGTAGTAAAAGTTGGGGATTTTTCTTTTAAAAAAGCGATTTATGCCGTTTCTCCCAGTGACCACCTGATGCTGCTAACCGTGATACCAGCAGTACTAGCAGAGCGTCATCACTGCAAACACGGGTTGCTTTTGCTTGACTGGTAGAACTTCCGGGTCGCGCCCTATCCATCGCCACACGAAAGCTAGGTATGACAACAACGGAACAAAAAAGTCGAAGAAGGAGCAGCAGTAATGGATTAGGGAGGAAAGGGTTCTGGAGCCAATAATGTCCTACTGTGTAATTGAAGTCGTCGTTTAGTGGCTCTGCTTCTTTTTGTGAAAGAAATGGAAGTCCAGTGATTGTGATACGGTGCAAAGACAGAAGGCAGGAGGGGAATAGATGGTAGAAAGCTGTTGTGTTAACCCCACTCGGTCCGGTTTTAGATGTCTCACGTTGGAACGACGTTGGGTGACTGAGCTAGGACCGCAATGGATGGATCAACGCTTAAGACGGGGCCGTTTAAGGCACTAGCGAAGCGGCAGCTACAGCCGTGGTTGTTGCTGTCGTGGGACAGGGCAACAACCGGGCGATCGCTGGTGATTGTTGTTGTCTCTACGAGCTGGCCTGCTTCAATTTTCAGTTTGTGCCGCTTGTAGCGATCGCGTTGGTGCGACAAGAAATGTGAATCAAATGCCACGCAGCACTATAATAGGTTAGATCAGACGAACGGGGCCCCTTGGAGACTTTTGCCCCCTAGCGGCAACAGCTGTAGCCGCTGGCGGATAACGCTAAAGGCCACTAGACAATACATAACAAGCAAACAACGGTTCGAAAAAACCTAGGGTATTGCGGCAGGGCGTCTAGAGGGCGTAGTGAATAAAAAAGCGTTGTTCTGAGAATGATAGATTATTGGCATCCCAACGAACACACAGATAGACAGACACTAACTGACAAGACTCCATCAACATTTACACAGCGCCAATATCGACAGCACCTCTGTATTCAAGCTTCCTACGCCTCTTGATGCGCCTAACCAGCAATAATGTTGCTAATAATTTTGCTGCTGCTGCTGCTGAAGACTGACTTAACGGTAAACTGGGATCTAGTCGATCGGCTGGAGAACTAGGTAAGAGCTCGAAAAAAGTTAGACTACTTGCTTTGTAGATGTTGATTGAGGTGGTGACGCCAGCAGCGAACGCCAGGTATTATAGTAAACGAAAGCCATTGAAGCGTTATCATCAACGACGTCGTAGTCATCATTTCTGGTCATCGTTCTTTTTCTTGCGCCACTTACGTCGATGGGTGATGGTTCTCGGAGCAGCCGACACATACGTCGTCATCGCGCCGCTAGTCGATACTTAAAAACACCAACCAGCATTACAGGAGTAACACCTAAATGTTCTAGGTATCATATATGGATGATAATGGTATTTCTTGTTATGACTACTTTCGATTTAACAAGCGCTTTGCATGCGTACATCTACAGTTTTATAACATCATCTAAATGTTGTGTCTAATTGTATGAATGAGCAGGCTGCTTGAGAGCGATGAGATCCTTCTGCTGTTTTTTCGCGTGGAAAACAACGGCGATCGCCGAACACAAAGGTTTATCAGCAACATACAAAGTCGATGTTGAGCCAAGGAATCTTATTTGAGCGCTAAACACCATTGCAACCCTGGTTAGCGCCTCTTTGTCCAGAGCTGAGACTGGAAGATCCCGTAATAAAAAACAACAGGAAGTCTTTAAACATTCACGCACATACATGAAGACGTAATCAGTTTTTTCTTAAGAAAAGTCTAAATTGCGACCTCGCCCTGTGAGAATTACCTTTGCCGCCGTACATCATACAGCACGTAACTTCACTGATTTCCCAACACCTACTTACAGCTGAAGGAATCTTCCGTTCTTGCCTGAATTCGAACAAGAACTGTTGGCCACGAAAAAGCGTGGACATGCTACACTATTTGTTGTTGACTGAGAAAGTGTTTCTGTCAGATAAGTGGGACTACGTCACCTAATGTTACCATAAAGGTTTGCAATGGACAGGACTCTGGGTAGGTACAAAGTCACAGGATGCTTTTTGGGCTATGAAAAATCTAAGAATGGGTCCGGTTACAGAAGGATCAGCTCGCAAGCTTTGAGCTAACGCCACACGTGCACCAGGAGAAAAAAACGTGACCCAAACAGCTGCATGTTTTGCACAGATGGCTAGCGCCATTGCAAAAAAAAATCCTTTAGCTATCCCGAATACTAAATGGTTGGCCAATTCCACATGAAAACCCAGACAACGCCGCTGAAGGTAGAGGTGTTTCAGGCTTGTTTCTTCCCCGAAGGCCGATGAAGTATCTGCATAATATCAAAATAATTTGTCAATAAGGTTGAATGTAGAACGCAGACGTGTTATTAAAATTAAAGGATAGCTCTTGGAGACTTTATAAATGCTGGTGTGTAAATGAAGATGAAATGTGAGTTTTCGGTACGTTTTTAACGAAAGCAGGGTTCAGCAAACCGTCCCACAGGTATTTTGTTTGTTGTGTCTTCAGTATGTTTTCGTCATGAAAGGGAATGAACTAAGTTCGAAAGTAGTTCAGTTATGTTTGTCTAATCACCTATGCTTGATTCCGCGAGATATTAACGAAATCCAATCCAAAACCATAAAAGAGTTTAAATTTACAAATAAAGAATTCTAAATAGAACTTTAATGTTACAGCATTATAAAAAGCTTTGAAGGCTACCATATTGGTCAGAATTATCTGGGTGTCTCTCAGCGATGGGCTAGCATGCAACCTACTTCCAAAAAGAAATTAAATCAAAAAGTTAGTGAGTCCAACAAACTGCAATATGTCAGCATAAAGACGGGATTTAAAGACCGTTAAAGAATATGGTTAAATAACAAGAAACAAATTGAGTGATCGCATACAATTGACCACTTCAGACCGCTCACCTAGATAATGGGCGCGAGCGATGCAGTCATGGATCTTTTTTAAAGCCTTTTAGCTGACATTAAATAGATAGATTAAGCTTAATAGAAGCC